AATTTTAATTCTTTTTAAGTGGTTCTTTTGTATGTTGGCCTTAATGGATCTCAGTCTCCTAAATTAGACAAGGTAACTGCAAATGGTACAAATGAGGGCTGATGTTAATGAAATATCTGCCTGTGTGCCAGGGTCTTTGCTAAGCGGGGCACATTTATCCTCACCATAACCCTATGAGGCAGATATTGCTGTCATCCCAATTTTGCACACAACCAGAAACCATAGTTTGGAAATAACTTAGCTATAACATTAATTTGGAAATAACGTAACTTAGGATGGGAAGTAAAGAAATAAATTCAGGCTCCAGACTTAAAGTTTTCAATAGAAAAAATGGTAGAGACAGATTTGTATGGCAATGAAATGAGAAGGAAATGCTGGAGGATGAAGAAAACTCAAAAATGTAGAAACTTTTGGTGCTAAGTTTGAAAAGACAAAGGTGAAACAAGATGTCAAGCATTTCACTTTTTGAATCCACTCATATTTTCAGCCCAAATTCTTCTGGTTTTCAGTTTCTTCTTCAAAACCCCACCCACTGAGTGCTATGGATGTCTATTGTGGTTGGTTGCACAGATTGATTAGAGGCTAAGAGAAATGGGAGATTTTTTCCTTTGAGATGGGCTTCTTGTGGCTTCCTTTCTCTCTCCTACAATCTGGAGAATCCTACTGCTTTTTGAGTCTAATGCCTGGCTTGCACCATAGAAGGTGAAGCTTGCCAGCCTGGGGAAAATTATGTTTTGGTGTCAGTGACACCTGAGTTCAAATCCTGATACTGATACTATTTAGGTTAGGTAGTTAGGTTGTTGAGCACTTGGGGCCTTGGATTAAACCTACTGGACTTCTGTCCACATAGTTGTGCAGAGCTGGTAGTCTCTCGATGGGTTGAAAGAATGATAGATAAAGAACATATATCACCTGTGTGTAGTAGATACTGAGAGCAGCATAAACTATAGTTGATTTGTTAGTACATGGTACTCTTCCTCACTCTGTGTGTGTGTGTGTGTGTGTGTGTGTGTGTGTGTGTGTAGAGTGAAGGTAAAATATTTGTTCAGGATACAGTGGGGTTGGTGAACCCCTTAGTGAGCGCAGTGTGTTCAGAATATGTGGGGAACTGGCCTATTTTAAGCTTTAAAATTCATGCAGAGGATGGAATCATAGAGAGGATCAAGGAGTACTCTGGCTGCAAAGCCAGCACTGATCCTAGTAAAGGTGAGTTGGTCACCACACAAGGTTTGCCCATAATGAAGTCATTCATGTAAGGGGAGCTAAATGTGTGTTTTTAATCAAGGTGATCACCCTTGTCCCCATTCTCCTCCCTCAGAAGAGTCAGAATCAGCAATCTTCAAAGGTACAGTACTCTAGAGCAACTTTTGCTTCAACAAGATGCCCTTTCCTGATCCTTAGCAACCCTACTCCTTTTCCAAATGTTCCTTCTCTGTAGTCTTTGAATAAACTACTACTCATTAAATTACCCTTCAACCAAATAAAGAAATGTAGGTTATTAATCACCACTATCAGAGTGACTGCTGCCAATGTTTTAATTATTGCTTGTATAGCCTGGCCCCAGTTCCAACTATTGGTAGACTTATGGATACCAGTCAGCTTCCTTTCCTTCAGGAATTGCTCTGCAGAGTGGCACGAACACTTCTCAGAGACAAAATATTGACTCTGACCTGCAGAGAAACCAAGAACGACCACAGACAATTAAGTCTCTAAATTGTTTCAAGTCTGAGATTTGTTGTATATGAAGTGGGTGTGGCTTGACTACTCTCACGCTCACATTTAATGTATAAAAGAAAATATTTGAAGATGGCGGCATGTGAACATAAGGCTTTATTTAGACCCAGTTCAGTGGATTTTTTTTTTTTGTCTGTTCCAATCCCTATGTGTTGCTGAACAAGATAAGCCAATGTGGACAATGGTACTTTATTCACTATCAAAATTTTATCTGTAGCTGTTTTTACTAGTCAGTTAAACCTGTGATGGGTAGAAGCTCCAAGGTCTACTTCAGATCAATTACGGCAAAAATAAATAAATAAATAAACAATGCAACAACCTCACAAAGCAGTGGTGAGAGAAGAGGAACAAGAATAAAATAGCCAGATTGCAAAAATAACCCATGTAAGGCTTCTGCTGCTGGTCATGGCCTTTCTGTTCTGAATGGCCTGAGCTCTGAGATTCCTGCAGCTGAGACAGACAATAGCTATTTTCCCCGCAAACTCCTGAAGGTTTATTCTGAAAGTGATGGCTTTTCCATTCACAGCTGAATAAGGAAGTCATCCAGCTTCCTAAAAAGAAAACTTTCACCTTATTGCTCTTCAGAAAAAGCCTTCAGTAATTGTCCATGAACTAGAAGTAAACATTGGATTGTAACCTACCTCCCACTCACCACCAATAGTCCCTCCTTATTCACCTTCTGTCTCCTTTACAGCCAGAGACACCAGCTAGATTGGTTTCCTCTAGGCTCCTTTAGCTGGCCTTTCCTGATAAGTGACGTTGCTCACTCCTGTATCCACCTCCCTGGGTCTTCCAACTTACTCCCCACTTCTCAAGCATCATCTTAATCCTACCCAAGCTTTAGGTTCTATCTTAAGTGTCCCCCTTTGGAGCAGTCTGTCCCACTCATCTGGCTCCCCTGCCCTGCTACAGCTTTTCCCTAACTCTTCTGTCACAGTGCTGCAGACCAGTGAGGCCATTTCTGCTGGCTGGAACCTGTCCCAAGCACCACTGAGCTTTCTCTCTATGGACATGAGAAAACAGATGAAGGTGCCCATCCTGAGCTCAAGGGACTGTGGTCAGCAGGTGAGGCAGTATCTAGAATCTAGAATCACAGGACTCTCGCCCCCAAGGTAGGCATGCCTGTTGTTCTGTTAGGAGGTGACTCAGTCAAGAAGAAGGAGGTTAACCCTGAGAATTCTTCTGGGCAGAATCTCACCTTGAACCTTTTTTTCCTTGGCTCTCATAATAAAAGAAAAGAGTTGGACATTCCTAACATGATAATATGATGTCTGAAATGATTTAAAATTAGAAATTGTTTGAGTGTCATGTCAGCACTCAAAAAGCTTTTATAGCTTAGAACATTTCGGATTTGGGGTTTTCAGATTAGGGATGTTTGTTCTATAGCACTAGTATCTTTATCTCTCCTCATAGCTGAGGAAGTGGAAGCTTGGGGACAGTAAATATCTTGTCCAGTGTCTCAGTAAAGACTGGGTTTGACTTGAACCAGTAGTATCTGAGTCCAAAGTCTACAAGATTCTTTCTTTCTTTCTTTTTCTTTTTTTGGAGGAAAATAGAAAGTTATTTTCATTTTCATTTGAGCTGGTTTTTGTTTGTGACACATAGTAGTTATCGTCACAGAGAGTTCGTAATATACATATTACATCGTAATCAGTTTTGCTTTCTGTTCCCCCCATTCTTCCTTTTTACTTCATCCCAGATCCTCTTCCCATCTCTACAAAGTCTACTTCCCTCTTTCCTACCATCTCTCTTCTATTTTGCTCTTTAAATTATTTATATTTTGAATTTCTCATATAAGGAAAACCATGTGATATTTAACTTTCTGTGTCTGGTTTATTTCACTTAACTTTACAGTCCCAAGATGCATCCATTTATCCTTTTCTGTGGCTGAATAGTACTCCCTCTTATTTGTACCCATATTTTTCAAAGTGTGGTCCTCTGAGCAGTAGCATTGGCATCTCCTGGAAAATTGTCAGAAATGTAAGTCCTAGGGCCTCATTCACGTTCTGCTGAATTGGAAACTTCTGGCGTAGGGCCCAGAAATCTGGGCTGTCACAAGTCCTGGGGCTGTACCTTCCAATTTGAGAATTGGGTCCCTCGGAGGACCCCCTTCTAGGCTGGCCTAGAAACCACACTAACATGGGAAACTTTCAAAATGCTAGTTGCTGATGGCCCCCTGACTGAGCCACAGCCCCACCTGATTCTTCTGTGCCAGCTGACTCCTCTTCAGGTACACCTAGAGCTTTAGGAATGCCTATGGAACCGGATGAACTTCAGATGGAATTTTTAAAAAAGAAAAATGCTTAATTCCCTCACGTCTTTCTTATTACATCTTGTCACCACTTAATCATTCTTGTTGCATTTGCTCTATGCCTATGTTGTACAACTGGATGTCACTGGTGCTTGTGTTTTTGGTCATTCATGCCTGCATCTACTTAACAGATGTTGTGGAGTGCCATGGATATGACAGGCGTGGCGCAAGGTATGTGTTTGAACAGTGAATTAGAGACAAATGCATGTGCTGTCTGAGCGCCTCTGACTGCCATGAACAGGCAGTCACTAAGAAACAGAGAAAAGCTGCCTAAGGGTAGGGTGAGGAATTCTGGGAAAACAGAGAGGCCTTCTTCAAGCCTTGCAGTCAGCAAGCTGTTTGAGAAGGTGAGGGTATAACTGAAGAGCCATGGAAGGGCCGCTAACTGGAGAGGAGTAGAGTGGTGGCAGGGGAGATGGAAGAGGACCCCAGGTTGGGTGAGTCACTCAAGTGAAGGCCTGGAGAAGAGAATCATTCCAACATGGTGAGCAAAGTCCTGAGCAACTGCAGCCTTGAATGACAGGTGGGGTGTGAAGAGAGATGAGGCATGAGAAGAAGGTAGGAGGCAGACCCAAGGAGTCATCTAGGCCTGGTGATGGAGTCTGAACTTTAGGGAAATGGGAAACTAACAAGAGAAGTGATATGGAAAAAAAAGCATATTGACAAGATCACTCCAGGACAGACAGAGCTTATTTTTAAACAGTTCTTGTTGGATATGTTAATACTGCTAATGGACTGTAAGCTCTGGGTGTTTTCCTTTCTCCCTTTTGCCTGTGCCTTGCCAGGGTACTGAGGGCCATCTCCATCCCATTCTCAGGGAGAAGTCAGACCCAGTCTGTGACCTCTCAACCAGTCAGGCAGGAGGGAAGGCAGGATGTTTTGTTCATTTGCATTGCTTGTATTAATCCCTGAGGAGTAGGTTGCCTTCAGCATTATCTTCTGCTCTTACTTTCAGGATGCCTGTCCTTGCTGGTGACAGTCCAGGACACAGAACGCTATGTCACCCTGTTTGCCTCCGTTACCCTCAAATGTGACTACACCACCTCTGCCCAGCTCCAGGACGTGGTGGTGACCTGGCGTTTCAAGTCCTTCTGCAAGGACCCCATCTTTGATTACTTCTCTGCCTGTGAGTTCCCTCCCATTTCTTATTCTGCACAGGGCCCAGGCATCTCTGTGATGTTCCATCACTGGGGCCAGGAATTATTTAGGATTGCAGATCTTCATAGTGAGAAGCCACTGAGATGTATTCCCTTCCGTCTGTAGATAAACAATATTTATCCAGAACCCAGGCTGAAAAATAACTTGCCCAAGTTCAGATACTAGTTTATTTTCAAACTTTTGGCCTACCTTGTTCTAAAAAAATATTTAAGGCAGCTCAGATATTCTATAAAATGCAGAGCAAGTCCTGCACCTTGTCCATTCCTGGTTCATGCCAGTCCGATGATGAGACCTGCCCCCCTCCCCATCATCCCGCTGCTTTTGAATATAGACAGGCAAGCATCTTACCCTCCACAGAATGCAAAACCTGAATGGTCACTGCTGAAGCCCTGCCACTGCTGTATTCCCTTCCTGGGCCAGCCTTCCTGGTGATGGTCACTCCTCGGTTGAGCACTCTGAGTGTTGGAGAGTTTTCTGTCCCAGGCAGCCCTTTCGCAATTGGGCATTTCAGTGCTGTCCAGCCAAGCCCTGCCTCTCAGTAACAACTGCCTGGGTCCAGAGCTTTTCCCAAACTGGCCGTTTCTGTCTTCTCTCTTGAAACAAAGGAACTCAGAAACCCCCAGTCAGCTGGAGACAACCTTTTAGAAATTTTGAGGCTAGAGGTAGACACTTTAGAGCCATAGTAGCAAGCCTATGACACGTGTGCTGCAGTGGACACATGGAGCCCTGTCTGTTGGCACAAGAGCCAAGTCACCCAGCAGCTGAGAGCATTGGGTCACAGTTGTGTTTTCTAAGCTAAAACCTCAGTATTTCAGTGTTGGCACTTTGTGATAAATAAGTGGGTTTGGGATAGCAGTTTGGGCCCTCAATTGCTAGAAGATTCACCATCACTGCCCTGGAGGAGAGCTGAGGCAGAATGAGCTGGAAGCATCATCCTTACCATCTGCAGCCCTGGGGCTATTGTCTTCAATAGGATTTAAGCAGAACCAAAATATCTAGTTAGAGCTACTCACTGTTCCTGAAACTGTCCCCAAAATACCCACCAGAGACATTATTTCTTGGTGGTTGCTCTTGAAGTGCCTGGGCTAAGTGGGAAGGGAGGAGCGATTAGAGTAGTAGGCATTGGCAGCCATCAGACAGCTCTCAGATGTTCTGTTGTAAGGAGGGTGAATGAGTGCTGTGGGAACAGAGGCTATCAATGAGGCTGGGGAATTCGGGACTTGAGATAGGGGCATACAACCAGGACTTGGAGATGATGGCTTCTTAAGGGGCCTGGAGTCTTGTTGCTGAATGTGGGCTTTCTGTCATCACCTTGTGATTGATGGGCATCAGCTGGGAGTTTATTCTGTAGACTTGCATGTGTTCTTTTTTCAGCATACCAGGCGGCTCTATCTCTGGGCCAAGACCCCTCCAATGACTGCAATGATAACCAGAGGGAAGTTCGAATTGTGGCCCAGCGACGGGGGCAGAGTGAGCCAGTGCTGGGGGTGGATTACCGACAGCGCAAGATCACCATCCAGAACCGTGAGTGCGGGGGAAGTGGTAGGGGATGTAGGGTGGGGGAGGTGCAGACACAGGCCTGGCTGGCTGAGTCAGCACGGGATTTACCATTCTCTTCTGATCTCCTGGGTTACACTGTCATTGTTTGAGAAAAGTGCCACATTCTTAGAATGTGCTGTGTTGTCTGAAATTACTTCCCTGGAACTTGTTCTGTGGATCAGAGGATGTTCTGTGGAGCAGACTAAAGGTCTGGGTGTGTGAGTGGGTTCTTCGACTTTCTTGAGATTCAGAGTGAAGTGTGAAATGGTTCCTTTGATCCTTTCCACATATTGCTGTCAGGGTCCAGTCAAACTCCAGGTCCCTGGGTTCCAATCAGGCCACTTCTGTTGCTTATACAAAGGAAATACAGGCTTGTGAGAAGGTGACCACTTAGACTACTATCCTCCATTGGTAGAAGAAAGAGTGAAGGGCTTGGCATAAAAAGCCATGTGGGAGAATCCCAGCACTTCTGCTCAGTGATCAGCACCAGATCAGTTATTTCCTCTGGTTTCTGATTTCTCAGCTGAGAGATAAGAATCTGGTTCCCCACACTGAAGTGCAGTGAAGGCAGTGTCTAAGGATTGGGTCTAAGGCTCTTTGTGCCTGGTGTAGGAAGTAGCAGTTGGAGCGTTGGCCCTGCAGCCAGACTCAGGTATAGGTTCTCGGTCTGTACACAGAGATCTGTGCCTTGGGTGAACCCTTCCACTATTTCAGCCTCAAATTCTTTAAGATAGGACTTGTGCTAGTACCCATCTCACAGAGAATTGGGGACTGATACCATGTAAAAATCACTCAGCAAGCAGTGAGTATGCAATGATCATTAGTCGTCAGTACACTTTGGGGAGTGTGGGCTCATGCCTCTGGTTGCTAACCTGTGATCCAGCACTGCTGCAGTAAGTCACTGGCACAATATTGAAACTTCATTTCAGTGAGACTGATGTGCTGGTTTTAAAAATTTCCTAGTTAAAAGAAAAAATGGCAGGGCCAGGGATTTAGCTCAGCGGTTCTGTGGCCTGCCTTGCAAGTGCAAGGACCCAAGTTCAATCCCCGGTACCAAAAAGAAAGAAAGAAAAAATGGCAGAGGGCACCCAGCTGGCCACTCATGGTTTCTACAGCCACATGTGAGGAAATCAGTGACTATTCTATTCTGTGACCATTTAAAGGCAGATAACTTAAACAGCCAGTTTACTCATTGCTTCCAACTTTGTAATACTTAGATCTTTTTACATCCAACCTCTGGTTTTCCTAGGCTAGCCCTGGATCCCTTGTCCTTAGGGAATATCTGTCTCGTCTCCAAGTGCAAAAGATTCAAGGTGGCTGTACTATCTCCAGAGCCAGAATTAAGATCTGACCCCAAAGTTGAAGCCCTCTTTAATTAGCAAGTCTCATTTATAGTTTTTGAAGGATTAGCAGACCCATAGATAATGGTCTGTGCCCTTCTGTTTTTATCTAATTTGAAAGAGCACTTTCTACTACCTATGCTTCCTCTACTACCTTTGGGTCAAAAATCTGCCTCTTTCTTACCCCTACAAGGAAAGCACTATTTCTCCTTGGGTTTTATTTTTACCTCCTAGTTTGTTGTGACTTCCTGGAGCCCTTGCTTTCTGATACTCTCAGGCCTGTGTTTTTATGATTTGAGATAGCACTGTCAAAGAGTTGTTGGATCATCTAAAATATTAACATATTTGAATGTCCTTATTGTGCTGACAATAAGGCGTTTTCAGTAACAACTGGGGCAGATTTATAATGCTTATCAAGCTTTGGGAGGACTTTTGCCCAAAGCACTTTCACCATTCTTTCTAGTCTAGGGTAAGTTTGTGGGAAAGGTAGTTGGTTTGGAAAATTGTGGATAGGAGAAACATCACAAGAGCTGACGTAAAAGAGAAGGAAACAGAAGTCAGAATTTGCTCCCACATTGCATGACCTTGTGTTTTTGTTTCATTTCCTCAATAGCTATTTCTTAATAAACAGATAATAAAAGAGTTATAGATATGACTATTAACAGATATGACCAAGAACAATTCTGTCTTGCTAAGGTCTTTAAGAATTTGAAGATATCCTCCTGTACTTACTGAGATTAAAAGCAAGGTACAGCCATCCCTTCTGGTTGTGGAGGGGCCCTGTTGCCTTAGACTGGTTTTTAAACCCTTCTAGAATAGAAAAAGTCTTGTTCCTCTTTAATGCTCCCACAGTTCCTGACATAATGCTGAACCTACAGAAGGTCTTTAGTAAACATTTGTCCAGTTTGCTAAACTGGAACATATCTTAATCATTTATTTATCTTAATGAAGTATCAGACTATTCAGGGCTCATAGCACTTAAATTCCTTAAATTCTTTTCTTTTTTTTCCCCCCGCTTCTGGTTGTAGTTCTTTGCATATACTGGATATTAATCTTTCATCAGAGTATGATTTGCAAATACTTTCTCCTACATTGTGGGTTGTCTTTTAGCTGTGCTTGTGATTTCTGTGGCAGTGCAGAAACTTTTTAAAAAGATGAGATCCAAATTGCTGATTCTTTTAAGAGTGTGAAATAGGAAGAAAAGGGCTAAAGGTGGAGGGAAAGGGGGAAGGGTAGGGGCAAGGAAATAAGGGAAAAGGAAAAAATAATGAGAAAATGAAAAAATGGAAATAGAGTTTGTTAATGAGGAGGGGAGGAAGTGGAGGGAGGGCAGGGACAAGGGGAAAAAATGAGAACCAAGACCTGTCATGTGAAGGCACAGGATCCCAGTAATGAATGTAACTGTATTGTAGACCTAGATGGTACAAATAAACTCAATGAAAAGAAAAAAAAAAAGAAAACCAAATTGTTGATTCTTTGTGCTACCCATGCTACTGAGGATTTGTTCATAAAGTCTTTTCCTATACCAATGTCTTCAAGAGTTCTAACTAACTTATCTTCCAGCAAGTTTAGTGCTTCTGTTTTAATATTTATATCTTTAATCCACTTGTTTTTTAGTTTAGTGCATGGTGAAAGATACAGGCCTAGTTTTAATCTTTGACAAGTTGAAATCCAGTTTCTCTAATACCATTTATTAATTAAATTCTTTTCTTAGGCATCCTTTACTCTTAGAAATATTGGTATCCATCCATACTGATTTAACTTTATCTTATAACCCTTCCTTCAAGGTCCAGTGGTATTTGCTTATCTTCAGCTGGTAAAGGGTACAGGCTGCAGAGTTTCCTACCCAGTTTGGAGAATATAATAGAGATTAATGTTTAAGAACCACAACCTCTGAGGCAGAAAGATATGGGTTTGGACCCATCTTTACTGAGTACTATTATCTGTATGTTATTTGGCCAATTCCTTAGCCTCTTTATGTCTTTATTTTCCTCATCTGAAATGTAGCCAAATAATCATGCCTTCTATCATTTAGGATTAAGTTTAACTGTTGGTAAGCAAACCCCCAAAATATTAGTGACTTAAGCAATAAAAAAGTTTTGTTTGTTTCTCACATGTAGAACCAGAGGCATTTACAGTCTAGACCTAATACGGCGTTTCTGTTTTTCATTAAGTCCTCAGGAAATCAAGTTCTGTCTACCTAACCAAGAATGTCATCTTCTTCCTCCAAATCCAAGATGGCAGCTATCAGGTTTGCTTTCCAAGCCACAGTAGTCTATTTTATGTTGCTATTAAAAGATGCCAGAGATGGATAATTTTGTAAAGAAAATAGGCTTTTTTAGCTCATAATTCTGAGTGCTAAAAGTCCAAGCTTAGCACCACTGGTTTGGCCTCAAGTGAGGGCCCCTTTGGTGGGATCACTGAATGGTTGATGGCATTATGGTAGGAGTATATCCAAGAGAGATCACATGGAAAGGTAGGAAGCTATAGAACAGAGAGGACCAGTTTTACTTTTTTTTTACTAACTACCCACACTTTCAGAAATTAATTGAGGTCCTACAAGAACTATGTTCATCCCTCCCCAGTGCAGTGTCTTCAGGGACCTAGCTGCCTTGCTCTCAGCCCACCTACTAAAGGTTCCACCACCTCCCAACATTACCACATGAAGGCCCAAGGTTCCAACCCTTGGTAATGCACTGAAACCCTGTCTAAACTATAGCACCAGGTAATAGAGTTGGAGAGGAAGAAGAAAGGGCAATGTTGTTCACAATCTGTTTTTAAGAAATCTCCTGGGAAGCACTACATGACACTTCTTATGTTCTACAGACCAGAACTGAATCACTTTTCCATGTCCATATGTAAGAGAGAATGGGAAACATGGATTTTATTCCGGGCTCCTATTTTAGTCTGTTTTGTGCTTTTATAACAGAATACCTGACACCTGGTAATTTATACTAAGTGTAAATGTACTGTATTTGTTCATTGCTCTGGAGGTTGAGGAGTTTGAACTTTGGCGAGGGTCTTAACTCTGTCTCTTCATGTAGCAGAAGGTAAGAAGGCAAGAAGGTCCCAGACTCACCTTTCATCATGTGCCAATCCCAACCTTCTGTAGGGCTTCCTCATGACCCAGTCATCTTTCAGGGGTCCCCCCTCTTAACGCCGAAATGATGACAGTAGCATTGCAATATGAGCTCTGAAGTGGAAAATATTTAAACATAGATGGTAAACATTCTACAATTGTAGAGAAAGTGAAAAATATAATGGGAGACAACCGGTCATCTCTACCTCACCTACTTCGAGGTTTGTGGTGGGAATGAATTAGAGTAATCTATCTAGAAGCCTTATAAAGTAAAGTATACGGAGGGACCCCACAAGTAAGTTCTACCATTACTATCCTGTTGCGAGAAAGAGGAAGGTCTTGGAGGAAGAAACTGAGACTGTTTTTCTCATCCACCAGGGTTCCTCTGAGGTCACGGAAGGACAATGCCGATTCCCTGAAGATACTACTGGCCAGAAACTGCTTTGTCTGCTGACTCCTGGCACTTTCCCCTTCCTTCCTGTACAGGAGCAGATCTTGTGATTAATGAAGTGATGTGGTGGGACCATGGAGTGTATTACTGCACCATTGAGGCTCCTGGGGACACCTCTGGAGACCCAGATAAGGAGGTGAAGCTCGTCGTCCTGCGTAAGTGCTATTGGCACTTTCTGTGGTGTCACCATAACATTTGTAGGAACAGCAACAACCCAAAGCAAAAACAAAAACGAACCGGTATTATTGTCATTTGTGAGTCGCTGAATTACATTATCAAAGCTAAGTGTTTTTTTGTTTGTTTGTTTTATTACCAATCTGTCACTCAAGGTTAACCTGTAGATCAAGAGCACGAGACCCAGTGATACCTCCCTATATATTGTTCGCCCCTCCTTGGCTTCTCCCTCACAGACTGGCTGACGGTGATCTTTATCATTCTGGGAGCCCTCCTCCTGCTGCTGCTGATTGGAATGTGTTGGTGCCAGTGCTGCCCACAGTACTGCTGCTGCTACATCCGCTGCCCCTGCTGCCCCACTCGCTGCTGCTGCCCTGAGGAAGGTGAGCAGGGACAGACCGGCTGTGGGGCAGGCTGGTACTGGTGTGCCCTGTACTCCGAGCACATCGACCTACCAAGTGCACTGCACAACCGTGGGTTCTTCTGGGTTCTCCTCTGTGCCTATATCCATCACAAGTTCCAAGGATACTAGCCTCGCCCTCTAAATGGTGCCTATGGATCTATGGAGCCACATGGAAGGCAGAAACATAAGGATTTCTCTCTGTCAACCTCCGGAGCTGCCAAAAGCCTTTTTCAGATGGCTCTGCCTACTGACAGCATTTCCTCAGTGATTCTGATTTGCCTGGGCTATAGTCTTTGCCCCTAGTACTGACCCTGCCTAGACATAAAGGAATGTTACAAATGAAGCACTGAGAGAGATAAAGGAAAAAAAATTCTACTTAGTGTAGTACTTTTTGTTTTGGGTACAGACAGGGTCTTGCTTTTGATACCACATGTGTGCACCCTCCCGCAACACCGGGCAGTTCTCTCACAGACACCAACTGGGTGTCCTATAATTTAGCTCTCTGACACTACCTACCTGGAGAAAGCGACAGATCCCACAGTGCTGCCATGGGACTGCTCCCCACAACAGATGGCAATCGCAAGTCAGAAGTGATTACCTGAACTTTTGACCAACTGGCTATAAACTGGAGGTGTCTAAAACCCCCTCTTTAGGTTGCTTTAATCTGCTAGAGCAGCTTCTCAAACCTGGGAACACTTCACTTACATTTATTTACCCACTTTTTACCAAGGCTATAGTAAAGGATACAGGTAAAGAGATACATATTCCAGGTATGTCGGGGGAGACCTCCGTGCCTTCTTCAGTGCATGGACACCCAGCACCTCTACATGGTAAAACCCAGAAGCTCCTTTTGAGTTTTTATCTGTGTTTTACTACAGAGGTGTGACTGAGTCATTGACCATTGGTGATCAGCTGAACTTTCAGCCCCTCTTCCCTCCCTGGAGTTTAGGGGATGGATTTTTCCAAAAGTCCCCACCTTCTAAGTATGTGCTGGCCTTCCTTGTGGCAAGCCCCCATCCTGAAGCCAATGGGGAGCTCCCCAGCCACCAGCCATCTCATTAGTGTGCAGAAGATATTCATCACTCTGGAGAGACCGAGGATTCTGGGAGCTTTGTCAGGATCCATGTGCAGAAGTGTGTATTTTTTTTTCTGTTACATTTTCCCACCAGTTCTTAAAAAGACTTGAAAAGAGCAGAGCACAAAGGTTTTGAAGCAGTGATGCTTAATCTGAAGCTCTGCACCACCAGCCTTTTTTATTTTTATTTACTTATATTTTTGAGACAGAGACTTGCAAGTTGCCCAGGCTTGATGTGAGGAGTCTGCTTTAGCCTCCCTCAGTGCCAGGGTCACAGGCGAGCCCCGAAGCGCCCAACTTGCTCTAACTAGGGTCTTTATTTGGGTTAAAATTTGATCCTTCAAAGCAGGACTATAAAAATGTGGATGTCGAGTGTATGACAAAGGCAAAAGAATTAATGAATTATTCTATAAAGATCTTTTATTAGTAAATAGATGGACTACAATCGATGTTTTAAATGGAAGTTTTTGTTTCCATTTTAAATAACGTTGTCTTTTCTTGATGATATGCTACCACATGGTAGGAAATTTGCAAAATTCAGAAAAATGTGGACTAATCTGAGCAGCCACAGACAACCACTTTTATCATTTTGGTTCATTTGAAAGAAAAATTCTAAGAGGAAAAATAAAGAAATGCCCATTACAATAGAAACAAAAACCTAATCTTCATTAAGAAGGTCAGTTGTCTGAGTCTGGTTTCAGGCCTATGCTCCAAGATTGCTGTCTTACAGGAAAAGAGAACTAACTTTTATTGGATAGCATCATGTGTCTGGCCTTTGCATATATTTCCTCACTGAATTCTCACAACAACCCTAGAAGGCAGATATCATCCCTCTTTAACAGGGGAGGAGCCAGCAGGTCAGAGGTCTCATAGCTAGTATGCAGCAGTGACAGTGCAGGGTTGAGTCCACGTCCGTGTGACTTGTGTCTGTGCATCTCATGCAGGTGCCACCCCAGCCTCTCTGGGAACAGCTAAGACAACAGGAACTCTTTAGAGAGGGAAAAATAGCAGAGAACTCAGCGTTGGGCTATGGGATCCCTGCTATTCAGCGTCATCAGAGAGAGAGGCCCTGGGAAAACTGTCACTGGAGTGGTGATATGGGAGATGAGATGAGTAATTTCCTAGGACGCCTTCTTAGAGTCTGCAGATTTGTGGAGCACTGAAATCCAGCAAGACTGGGAAGACAAATGCATTCAGATTCAGTCAGTGAGCTGAAACAGGTTCTGGGGAGAGGTTCTGGGCAGAGAGTGTTTTTGTCCCCGGGTGGTTAGAATTCATTTTAAAGGACTGGTAAAATGAAGAAATGCAGGCCACAGAGACCTCTGGACTTAAGCTGATGAGGTCACTTTCAAAGTGAGTCACTGTTCAAAAAAGAAAAAAAAAAGTGAGTCACTGTTCTGAGAATTTCAGAGACATGAGGAATTACATTAAAAGGGAAGAATTGTTAAGGAAAGTGCTATGATTAGTGGAGGGAGATTTTTTGTTGTTGTTGTTATTGGTTCTTTTAGACCAAGATAACCCTAAACCTATATGTATGTAAGCAGAGAGCCAAGGCCAGTGCGTGAGAAAAAAACAAAGATGTAAGAAGTGAGGTAGGCATTGATGCCTGCCCAGAAAGAACTGACCTAAGAAGCGGGAGGGGAGCGAGGGAAGGTGGCCAGGTGGGGCGGGGAGGTGGAAAGTCAAGAACTGTAGAGGATGATGCCAGTAGAAGGGAAGAAGCTCACATCAGACTGTCCTGACTTTAACAAATCAGAGTAATAGATGCTGAAGGGAACCTTGAGAAAGTTGCTGGTGATTCTGGAGTTTCTCTAACCACAGCCCACCTCCCCAGCCTGCTTACACTTTCCCTGATAGTTAGCACAGGCTTGGAGAGGACAACAACAAAAATGACACCAAATTTTAGTACTCCTTGATAATCCACCTACTCTTGATTTACAGATGAACGTTTTCAAAATCGAGTCTTACTTTTTCTGTGAGAATCAGAGAAGCAGCTTTCACCCCTAGGGGGGTTACTGGCTGTATGTATTCCCGAGAATTTGGAGACACACACACACACACACACACTCCGCGTGAGTCACAGTCCACCCTGAGACTCTCTGACCTCTCCCTCCACAGCCCCCACTGCCAAGGGAAGTGAGGCCTGGAAAGACTTTTCCACAGTTACACAACCTGTTTGTGGTGGGCCTTGGCCTAGACTTACATCCCTCGACTCCATATGCAGGGTGGTTTCTTTGCCCGGAACAAAAATGATGTCATCAGCTGAAAGGTCACAGGGAGAGAAAGACCTGAGATGTGGGGACTGTTTAACCTGCCTCTAGAGAGGCAGGAACACATATTCAATAGATAGATCAACTAAGGAGAGTCCTACTGGGAAGAGGGCTCTTTGAGGTGTGGCCTGAGTGGAGTGCACCTACTGGTGGTTCCCTACAGTTAAATGACAAGAGTTCAAAGGGTCAATGGCACTGCAGGAAGCTCCTGAAGAGGTTGCTGACTTGACTGACCCATCAATTCGGGGAGAGTGATAGTTTGAGAAAAGCAAAAGGACTGAGTGGCTATGGAGGATGCCAACTGTGAGGGAGGATAAGTACGGGTCTCTGGAGTCTGGTGAGCTGGTGAGAGTCATTTCTGTCACAAAGGGGTTGTCTTAATGAATATGTCCTGGTTTTTCCTCAGAGATGAAAATTAATATGCCTTTGGTGGTTTAGTCTCCAAATCCATGTGTTTGTCTCCTCTTAAGGGATCTAAGGCAAAAGACACCATTTATTATAACAATGAGAGCTACTGCGAGCTCTTTCTCATCTATTACGCATTTCCTCTTTTAATCTCCACAGCCTTGTGAAAGAGTTATTTGGCTTCCAGATTAGCAGACTGGGATGAGAGACTCTGGAAATTCACTCAAAGTCACACAGCCAGTGATACCAGAGTGTAACTGAAGTCCCTCTGCCTCAAAGCCTGTATTTAAAGGCCATATATCTCCAAGTATTAAGAACCCTTAGTAGTCAGTTCTAGGTTGACTGCCAGCATTGAATCAAGGACTTGGTGGAAAATGCACCTTTTCTTGCCTTGTATCAAAATAGCTGAAGGAAAGTGTCCAGGAGTGGGACCTATGGAAGTGGCTAAATGGTACCATGTGGAAAAAGCCAGGATCCAATGAAAGTGGCAGAGGGCAGGGTTGTTCCTAATAGAACCAGATGTTCCCTATCTTGGGGCCAGAGAGTAGTCTGAGGTAGGCTTTGAAAGGTGTGGGGCTGAGTTTGAAAGAAATAAACCAAGGAAGTTCTTCTGACGAAGATTTTCTTGTGGGATTTTGTTATTTTGTTTTGTTTTTTTTTGGCTTGATCACAGAAAGTAAAGAAGTCTGGGGACTTGGCGACATGGCAGAAAGAGACAGACACAGTTTCAGACCCTGGCTCTGCCAGACATGGAGCACCTTGGGCTAGGAAGGCGATCTCTCTGAGCCCAGCTTTTTCATCTGATGCCATATTCAGAGAATTCTGAGAGGATGTTAGTATACACTGAGCAGTTGATGTGTATCCACGGTGGCCAGTAGAGGGCGCTTGGGAGGGGGGCATCCATTAGGGAGAGCAAGGTGCTGAGTAGGATTTGTTCGCAGGGATGCTGAGCGCTGGCAGTTAGCATGAAGGTGTGGCAGCTGGGTGAGTTGCCAAGAGTTTGCATCTGATTTCCTCCTGACCTGACTGTGGTTCACCATCAGGGCTAGAGCTCAGACACTTCTGGGGGCTCTGCTAGAACCACTTCCTGTTGTGTGGAAATTGTTTTGCAACGGAGCTACCCCTCAAATGGGCCTTTGCCACTCTGCATAGCTAGATTGCCTGCCTTCCGCCCCCTCCTCTGTGCCAGCAGAGCCTCAGGCAGCGCCCTGCTGCTTTAGGGGAGTCCACAGGGCCTGGCCAACTGAGCAGGGTCTGAGAGCATCAGGCTGGGCCTGTCATTGTTCAGAGCAAGTACAATGTGCAAGTGCATCTCCCACATGCATGAATGGGCAGCAACCTTGGGAGCCATGTGGCACTCAGCCACAACTGGTTCAAAATAGAAGTTCATGAACAAAAACAAATGTGTTTATTTTTAATTTGTGCTCATTATAGTTAGGGTGCTTCAGAGCAGCTGCGCCTAGGAGACCATACCGACATTTTGGTTGACCTCTGGCGCTCCTTTTCGCACTTTTTTTTTTTTTTTTTTTTTTTTTTTT